AATATTTTACGAAGACTTTATATCAATCTTATAACAGTAAGTTCATACGTTAGATCCTAATTAAATATATTACACATATTCATAATTATCTCATTTATAATATCGTTTATATATATGCATATATATATAATCCACAAAATATTTGAAATAGTGTTCTGATTTTTATCATTAAAAATTGATCATAACTTTATATAATTCCATTTACATACATAGAATGGAATATATATATATATGTGTTATCGATATAAACAATGGGGGGCAAAATAATATTTCTTCAATATCTTACATTATTAAATATATCACATATTACATAATATTATTCATATTATGTATATGTATATTCAGACAGATCTTTAATAAAAAAACACAAATATGTTTGTATAAAATACATAATAGTTTTCAAGGGCAATGTCACGAATGTGACAATCTCAAAACAGTATATTTTTCGATAATATATCTCTCTTTAAAATAGGCGTTAAAGATAACATAATACATATATGTATGAACATATACATATACTTTTAAGTATATAATACTATCTCTTTTGATTTCTTAACAAATATTCTAGAGTATAAAATTAGATACGTATACAGGGCTATTATACATATAGAAAGAGAGAAAAAGAAAGAAAAATGGACTGGAAACGTACACTTGGCAAAACTCAACATGTTCACGTTCGTTCATTCGTTCCTTCGTTGGTCGTTCGTTCGTTCGTTCGTTCGTTTTGAGCATCGAAAAGACTTTATCACTGATAAGGATATCCTTATCGTCGTGCGCGAGCAAAAGATAAGATGCACGAGGTGTATACTATACGCAAGAACACGAGTCTCACATAAATCTATCTGTTCTTTCCTCTTCGTTCTTCTCTATTTTTATTTACTAATTATCAATTAACCCTTATCGATCTATCAAAAAGAACAGAAACGAAAATCATGAAAAAGAATAAAAAACATTTCAAACTAAACAGATAAAAAGAAATATTAATTAATAAAAAATAAATATTCCTAAATATTTAATAATAAAAATCAACTTGAGTGAATAATACAAAATATCAATATTTAAACAATTATTAATGTATTAACTTGTCAATAATTATAGTTAATGAATAATTGAACAATCATAAACCGCTTGTTATGAAAATATGATTAAAATGTCGAAGATTGAAAAATTAATAATTATAAGACAGAAGACATAAAAAAACAATAAATCAAAATGAATACTCTTAGCAGGATGCGTTTTAAGGAAAAGGATATTCTCGAGAATGGAATAAAGATCTGATTACCGATCCTTATCATCCTTAAACATCGGAATTCTTAACGAGCTTCCGATCGGTCGCTTCCTATTAAATGGGAATCGTCCTTTCCCTGTTTACATCTTGTTATCCTTTCTTCAACCTTTCCCCACTCCTACCTTTTTCTGATCTCTTTTTAATCGTTCACTCATTTGCTATCTCCGCTCATCCTCTCTCTCTGTCTCTCAATAATCACGAAAAGGTCGTCTTCGCATGGACGAATTAGTCGATTAGAGAAACGTGCACCTGTCTCGATTTAAATATACAACACTCCTCATAACCTTCCCCCACGCCCTCTCAACTTCTCTCTTTCCATCTAACTTCCCTTCTTGCGTCTTCTTTGCATGTAAGTATGTATGCGCGCGTGAGTGCATAAATATAAACAGGTGCTTTTAATTTATGAATCTTACAATTAGACGGAATATCTCGATCGAAAATTCTTTTTCTCTCATTTTTTTTTCTACTTTCCCTTTTCCATTTTCCCTTTTATTACTTAACCTTTCCTTACCTTTCCATCATGATTTTTTTTCTTTTTTTTATATTATTATTATTTTGTTTTCGTTTGCTGCTTTCTTTCTTCTACTCGTTTTCTTTTTCTTCTCTTGTAGATTCTTTCTGTTTTCTTATTCTTTCTTAAAAGCGTTAGACGATTGTATACGCGTCGTTAGAAACAGAGAACGTCAATTTGGTTGTCGTATTTCCACGTCTTTCCACGAGCTTCCGACACCGAAGCCGAAGGTGAATTGCGCGTGTAAACAAAGTCTATTCTAGCGTGTATATATATATATATATATATATATATATGTATGCATGACGATGTCGTACTTACTTGACGCACCAACTTTATTCGACATAACCCGACTTCTTACGACTCTGTGTGTGTATAACTATTATATTATTAACACACACACACACACACACACACACACTATATATATATATATATAAATATATGATACACTGCTATACTGTACATTGTATATAACAAATATTTTATACTATATTTGCAGTATATAATATATTATATATACACCATAGATATTGTATATTACTTACTGTATAATATATTTAGTACATATATGGTATACTGAATACTATATATTGTACTCATATTATACAGTACATCAACAAAATATTTACTTAACCAATAAAGTCCATGAACTTTTTATCGAGTTATTTACTTAGAAAAAATCACAAGAACTTATCGGTCAATCTAATATGTATATCAATAACATTATATATAAATATTTACATGCGTATTTCTACGTATATACAAACGTATATATATTTTCGAATCAGTACTTCGAAGTGGTTCAAGTTTTTGCTATTATGTAGCTTGATCTCTCTTGGAGGTCCCCTACAACTAGTGGCGGGAAAACGGGAAGAGAAGTCGTTTCGATGTCTCGAAATCGAGGCCGGAAGTAGAGGAGGAGAAGGAGGAGGAGAAGGACTCTTGGCTTTCGAAGACGCTCGTAAAACGTTCCACGAGCGGTCTACTTTTACTTGGCCATTTTCGAGCGGGAAATTTTGTTGGATTTTTAAACCAATCTCTTTTATTTCATCTTAAATAAATAAATAAATAATAGTAATAATAATAAAAATAATAATAATAATAATAAAATATAAAATAAAAATACAATTTATTTCTTCGAGTATCAATATACTCTCTCTGTGTTTGTCTCTTTTTTTTTTTTTTTTTTATTATGAAAGAGCAAGCAAGAATCTTTCCACCTCTCTTTCTCTCTCTCTCTCTTTCTACCTCTATCTCCGTCTCTGTTTTACTTATTAATACGGCAAAGCACGAGGCGCGCTCCCCTCGAGACCCGACGTAACGCGGAATGTCGCGGAAAATTCAAAGTATCGCTGATCCAAGGAAGTAAGCTTTGAACTTACATCGATGTAGCTTTAAACGAAGGCTTGGATCGCGCTCGAGACGTCCCGTTGACGATCGTCGTTCGACCAACAGAGAATAAAAATGTTGACGATGAATTTTCTTATCCTCTTGGTCGTATAGAAAGTGGCGCGCGTACGAAGCTACGCGAAGCTACCGCTCTGCTGTTGGAAGGCTCCGTCGAGCGTTCAACGAGCGAGCGAGAGAGAGAGAGAAGAGAACACGAGCGAGATAGTCGAACACAGCCGAACGAAGCCGAGCGGTAGCGGGGTGGAGCGAAGCGGCCCGTCGAGGTCTTAGTCGAGCGCAAACGTTCTTAGGCTCTTTGTCGTATACGCCCAACCGTCTCAGGACCGTATCAACCAACACGTTAGTTTTTCTCTGAAAAACATTACCACAATTTTAAGGGGGTACCAATTTTTTTTCTTTTTTTTTTCTTTTTAATATAATATTACTTGTCGTCTAATTTGATTATTAACGTACAGTATATTAAATTTATTTACCGCTTAGCGAGATACAATAAAGAATAATTGTAATTCTTTATTATTAATTTAAAATGAAAATTTTGCTTTCAGATGTTGAAACATGATTTTTTTTGTTTTCTTTTTTTTCTTTTGATTATTTTATTTTCGATTTTCCTTTTATTTCTTTTTACATATTGGAAATAATCAATAATGGACTTTAATAAATACAAGAGACTCGCACGTCGAACGCTCGGGATTAAATAATGCACTTCCTTTTACAGAAAATACTGAAAGGTATATAAACAATCGGGAATATTCAATATTAATTATACAGTTAATTTACGAGGCGTGAATAGAGCTCGGCCATCCGCTTAAACGAAATCTCCCATTCGAACGCGGACAATATGCCGCGTCGTTCGGCATACAATAGAGTTTTATATGTAATTTATTAAAAGCCAAAACTCTCCTGCGAACGATGGATAATATCGGCGAGGCGTTCGTATTTGTGAAAAAAATGCGTAGTAGTTGATAGTAGTAGTAGTAGTAGTGGTGGTAACAGAAGTAGTAAAAAGCTCGAGCAGGAAAACACCGTCGATCAGCTGAAAACAATGCAAAAGGGAAAGGATATTTTTGTATTCCAAAAGAATCTTTTTCCTTCTTTTTTTTTTCCTTTGATGAAACTGTATGCACGTAAGTCGTCCCACTCGCATCAGGATTTACAACGGGAACATCCTTTAGACGATATAATGAGAGTTATCTCCTATCCTCGGAGGCACGGAGTCTCGAAGCAATCATTAGAATTTTACAACCTCGATCGATGATAACGGGAGCCCTTTCCGTAGACGTTTCATTCACAAAGAACGTTGATCGATCACGCGGGAGGAGATAATACTTTGTATATGTACGCGCGCACGTGTCTACCTATCGTTTAAAAAGTACTCCCAGAGAGAAAGAGAGAGACAGACAGAGAGATAACAAGAGAGAGAGAGAGACAGAGATCTTCGGTGAAAATTTAACGACGATAAGAGAAAAGTAAATAAAATACATGATAAATGATTACGTGTTTTGTCGGAAAAGAGAAGAAAGATTTGGGATTAAAGAATGTTGAGTGATCTCTCTTGTAGATCAGGATCTTGAGAAATACAAGGTAAAATAAAAGAAAAAATATTAGATTCGTATAATACTTGTAGAGAGAAGAGTAAATAGATCGAAGAATATATGCAGGGTACGGTATAAGGATAGATACGGTACTGCTCGGCGTAGCGAAGTGCAGGTGGGCCGAGCATCTACGGAAATGAACGAAGTCCTACTCGGGGGAAAACCGAGCGGCGGCACTCGGCCGAGAACTGTTTTGCCAGAGTACCTCAGTAATGCTTTGCATGGCCAGCTAGCCGCAACTCGGCAGTCGTGTAGCTGAGAGTCGCGACGTATATTTATCGTTTAACTCGGTGTGGACATCGTGTTGTGTGATATGTATTATTATTATTATTATTATTATTATTATTATATTACGAGATGAGGACGAAGAGAGTTGGTGACGAATAAAGGAGAAATTAAAGGACCGTATATAATATTATTGATGGTTGAACGGTGAATTAAAATACACTGTGTTTCAACGATACAGAGAGATATATTTTTCGGGCGTGGATCCAATCATTTTCTTCTTCTTGAACGGAGTTTCGAACGACTAGGACAACAACAGACAAATAGAACTTCGAACTCAAATATTGTGTTTTCACGTTGATGAGACAAATAAAAAGAAATTATTGAAGTTATCAAATATAGTCGTGAGTTTAAAGAAAGACAGTGGGACACATCTGTGCTTGTAACGTGTGATAAATGTAAGGATTGATAACTTTAAAAAAAGAAGAAGAAGCCGGATCAGTGGACGGACGGCAGCGACTACGCTCGCTGCGGCCCTGGTGGAATCTCGATTCCACCCCAAACGTGTTTCCTCACTTGAGAACCGAGCTACCATCGAGACTAACTGTGTATGGTGCACGAGCGAATCAAGATGCTGTCGTCGGTGCCAGCGAAATAATAATGTGGTGCGACGTTGGTCAGGTGAGTGTCGTGCAAGATCCTGTTCGTTGGTTGGATGATTGAATGATTGCTTGCTTGGTTTCCTCGGATTCTTACACTTTATTCTCATCATTGTCATTGTCAATCGTAACCAGCAACCATGGTCTACGTTCCTACAATATTCTTCTTTCTTTCTCTGTGATATTTATCGAGTCGTTAGACAAACGGGAGAAAAACAGCGAAAGAGAGGGAGAGAGAGAGAGAGAGAGAGAGATAGGAACTGCGACCGTCGCTGGTCGATCGGCCGACGGCGAGACGAAACGAACTTCCTTCGTATATTCTCGCCGTCGTATTTCTACACAATATTTCTCAACTTACTTTTCCATCGTTTTCCACATTTTAATGTCTCACATTATAAATCTATCGTCGCATTTTATTAAGAAATATATTTAAGTAAATTCAATTGAGAAAAAAAATAACCACCACGCAATATTCGATCACGAAATTTCGATTCCAACGGTTCTCGGTATAACTGAGAAAATACCCTTTCTCTTATATCTCGTATAAAAGATACAAAACACAAAATATTTATTTAACCCAATTTCCTAAACCTAAAAAGAAAGAAAGGAAGGAATAAAAAATCCTCGTAGAAAGACAGAGTAGAAAAGTAAAATAAAGGAATAAGGATTCAGGTAGATTAGATTGGTAAGAACGGAGAGCGCGTAAACAGATCGAGTAGTACGTGTGTCAGATTTGACGCGTGGTAACCTCGTGTTCGGTAGTTTGAATTCGAAGCGATCCCGCGTTTCCTTGGCCTGGGGCTGTGGGGGTGGTGGCGCGGAGGGTAGGAGAGTTGGATCAGAGAGGTGTAGTACGAAGAGGAGGAGTTCGATGGAGGTGGTGGAGTAAGGGGAGGGGGAGGTGGTAGAGAACGGCACAGCGACGATGACGGCGGCACCGATGATAACGTATAAAAAGAGAGGGGAATAGCAAAAAGAGAGAGAGAGAGAAAAAGAGAAAAAAATCGTGTGTAAGATATATGTGTGTGCGGGGTTTCTCTGTAAGTTGCGCTCGCGCGTTCAACTAGAAGGATGTATTTGTGAGGGGTGGTGAGGGGAATGCGCTGTGAGGTGACTATGGCAGCGACGCTGGGTCGTGGGTCGCCGTTTGCCCGCTAGGTGGGGGTAAAGTAGCGGCGCGTGAAAGAGAAAGAGAGAGAGAGATAGCTGGAGGCTGGCTCCTCTTCTTCTTCTTCTTCTTCTTGTTCTTCTTTTTCTTCTTCTTCTTCCTCTTCTTCTCTGCTTCTTCTTATTCTTATTCTTCTTATCTTCTTCTTTTTCTTCTTCTTCTTCTTTACTTGGCCACCGGCGCCGTAAAGAAAACGCTCGCTCGACTCTCTTCGAGTTCTGCTGGTTCTGCTGGTGTAGTGTTGGTTGATGGTAAAGAGGAGGTGATATGGTACCAGTGGAGGTGGCCAAAGGAGGTGGGCACACGTTTATGACCAACCACCGAGGGGGCATCGTAGTCATGGTTACTACGACGACAACAACTCGAATCCTCTCTCTCTCTCTCTCTGTCTCTTTCTCTTTCTCTCTTATTTTCTTTTTTTATTTCTTTCTTTTTATCTTGATCCTTATCTTTCTCTATTTCTTCTTATCTCGCAAGGATGTTTTTTTTTTTTTTTTAGAAAATTGTATACACATTTTTGTTTAATATGCTACTCGGTTTTGTTCTTTCAACTCTCTCTCACACTTTCGATCGAATGACTAGTTTTTGCATATATTTCATATTGTTTTCGTATATTTCTTCTTTCTCTGATAATAATATATTCAATAGTATATTTTAAAAGGATTGCTATGAAGTTATAAGAATGTCCAAGATGAAATATTCTAAAGATGTTAAATTTTTTCCGTCGTGTTTAGCTATTGGAAACAGAACATACATAACATGAAAAAAACTAAGTTCGATACTAACTTATTTCGTTTTTTCATTTATTTTCAACGATTCAGAGACAACGTTTTTTTTTTCGTCGTCATTCTTCTTCAGATTTGAATGAATTATTATAATAAAAATAATTCTTTTTTATCTAATAGAGACAAAGAAAAAAGAAAATGTTATTCACCAGTAACTATTTCTATTGGTTCTCATTGATTATCAAAATTATGTTCCTTTGAAGAATACTCATGTTCTTGCTTCGAAAGTATCAAATAGTAGGGAAAGACAGGACGAAATTGATGAAAGTTTCGAAGGATTTATCTGGGTATAGTGATTCGATCATTGCACAAGAGAGAGAAGTTCCAACAAACTAATACTGCATCCTCTGTTGATCGGAATTGCTCGACGATGGTTCACGAATTACTCGTAGAAATTCGACGTGAAGTAAGTTGTTCGTTTCTAATAGTACTGGTATTAAGACTAGCAGTACTAGTAATTCGACAATTTCCTCAACGAGATGCATTGCATTCTTATTATCTTGATTTTAGATATTTCAAAATTGTTTATTTTGAATAAAAGAAACGAATTTAGATATTATTGATTAGAAAATCAAATATTTTCCTATCGTAATTCGTTAAAGCGTTTTATTTTTCAACTTTCCGACGGCACATATTCAGAAATGTTAACAGTTTAATATAATTTACTATACATTTAATTGTACGTATTTTGTTAATAATAAATACTGAACTAATTGTAAGTCAAAAAATACTTCAAATTTATTTGATGATTTATTTTATAATATAAATCATTTTATTGTTTGTTTCTTAGAAACTTCATTACGTGATGTAATAAAAATAATTGTCATATAAAATAAATCTTAAAACAAATGTTTGCAATTTTTATGACTAACAAAATTGACTCGCATGAAACTTAACAGAAAAACTATCGAAGATAGTTTCCTCTTCAATAATTTTAAGAAAGAAGAAAAATATTATCGATAAATACATAGAACCAAAAAAAAGCGAGAAGTAAGTACCCTCATTGGATGAGATAGATCTCGAAAATGTAACCTACTATAAACGAGTAGTTCTATATATTTACATAGGTTCTCGAGTGACACAAGTACTTCATCGTTTTGTAGTACGCTCATTGATACACATATGACGCATATGCACACGCTTAAAATATAAAATCTACTATCGTACGTACGGCGCATTTTCAAGAGATAATCGTAAAAATGTATACGTTTAAAAGCAAGCTTTGAACATGTCGATAAACATAATTACAAAGGAATGTTTAAAGGTTAACGTTTCAAATATTGTTTTTCTTCAAACGTAAACAAATAAACGAGAAATAAAAAACGGATAAGAAAAGGTTATTGAACAAACGTGAATAGAAAAATAATTGGGAGAGCAAGCACTTTATTTTAAAATGTGTAAATAATATCGGTGTTTTATAAGTGATTTGGAAACCGTGTTTAAAACGGGTAGGGAGATGTGTGTCCGTAGAGTTATCGGACGGTATGCGCTGATCTGTCAATAGGCTTCTCCCATTCATAAATTCGGTGCGGGTAGTGCGGCCGCATAGTTTCACCGCGAAAAGCACGTGGCGGCGCCTCGGCCTGTTGGAAAGGCCGCTTCTGTCTCTCTCTATCTCTGTCTCATTCTGTTAAACTCCTTCCCCTGTGTCTGTGTCCTCTTGCACGAACCCCTTCGTCCATCCCTCCCTTCTCCATCGTTGATTCGTCCCGCAAGTTGCGTTCCATTGTAACCACTGATAATGACTAACATCTATATTTCTCTTTCTATTTCTCTCAACGATTAGTGTATACACTAATCGCATATGATTTATACTCTATTAATATTTAATACTGTGTCCCTTTTTCTTCTTGCATGAGCGCTCATTTTTCTAACCTATCTTCTCTCACTGTCGTTTAAATTATGCTTTTAACTGCAACTATACTGAAAATGATGAACTTTTATCTTTAACTGATTCCTATGTCTCTATTTCTCTCTTGCATGAACATTTTTGTCCACCCGATGCGACTTGCGTTTCACTCCAAGCAGGGAAAATGATCAGCTTCTATCTATCAATCTTGATTTATAAGTTTTATCTCTATCTTTCTCTTTGTATTAGTGTGTACAAGTAACGTATAATTGGCACATAAGATTTATCGGTGGAACCACTAGCAGCGGGGCACTTCTCCGTTGATGCGTAAAACCTAAGAGTGGAATCAAAGCACTTCGTTAGTCGTGATAACGGTACGTATGTACGTGTACATATGTGTTAGGTACCTGTAGAAGACATACGCGTAGTCTCTTGGTCGTGTCGTGTCGTGTCGTGTCGTGAAGACAAGAAAAGGCAAGACCACGAGATATCCCGTGGTAACCGTTAGGAATAGCGTAGGTAGCACGCGACACGTGCCTACGCACGCTTTCGGAGTAGAAGAAAGGTGGAGGATATCGATAACACTTAGGCTTCCACACTCTACACTCCTGATGGATTTTTCTAAGAAACTAAAAGGGATAGAGAGAGAAAGAGAGAAAAAGAGAGAGAAATGGTAGACACTTTGCGGTAGGTTAAGGTTAACGCACACACAATGAAAAGGTTGATCATCGATATACCCACATAAACCGCATAACCTTTCTCACCCTAACCATAATATATTTTTCTTCCTGCTTTTAGAGACCCCGCTGTTCTCTTTTAAGCTTCTATTTGGATAGTTTAATTTGTGGGTCTTTGTATTTTGTAAGTTGATCGTTGTCTATTTTCATGATTATTTTATTTATTCTTCATTTTTCTTTTCTCCCCTGTTTATATCCTGTACAACAAAAAAAGAATAATAATACCTGTACCATAACGTTAAGAACTACTTATAGGGCTACTCTTTTTTTTTTATGGTACTTGTTATCTGACACGTTCTTCCTAAGAATGACTACAGTAGCAGGTGTATATCAACACCCTAAAGTTTTCTTTCTTTGCGTTTTAAAACCGTAAACCCCCCACTGGTATTTCTTATTCTTATTCTTATGCTTTGACATATTCAAAGACATTGCAATGTCAATGTGGATTCCTTTTTTTTTCCTTTTTCTATTTCCTTTATTTTC